AACAGGCAGGCTTCAGGAAGTGCAGATCTACTGAAGACCAAATCACCTTCATTTCTCAGGAAATAGAAGATGGCTTTCAAGAAAAAAAACCAACCTCAATAGTGTGGGTCGACTTTGAAAAAGCCTTTGACAAGGTTTGGGAGCAAGGCTTAATTCTAAAGCTAATAAACCATCAAGTATCTCATAACATGCTAAACTGGATAAAAGGTTACCTAAGCAACCGAAAAGCATCAGTCTCCATGCAAGGAAAAAGAAGTCACACAGTAACTATAAAAAATGGAGTCCCTCAAGGAGGAGTCTTGTCTCCTACTCTCTTCCTCATTTATATAAATGACTTAAATGAAAACATCCCAAGGAGAGTAAAAAGAAGCATGTTTGCAGACGACCTTTCACAAATCAGCACAGAGGAATATATTGGTACCTCAAAATTTCGTCTTCAAGAAACACTTGACAAGCTCGGCAAATGGACCGAAAACTGGGGCTTATCCATCAATACCAAGAAAACAACTTACTCAATCTTCACCTTATCAACTAAACATCAAAAAATGAAACTTACCCTAGAAAACCAAGAGCTAGAAAAAAATGACCACCCCAAATACCTAGGAGTCACTTTTGACACTCGACTTACCTGGAGAAAACAAATAGAAAACACACAAAGTAATGGGATCAAAAGACTTAATCTAATGAGGAAACTGGCAGGAACAGACTGGGGAGCAAATCACCACATCCTGAAAAAAACCTACACCAGCTATGTGAGACCTACGTTAGAATATGGTGCTTCGGCTTGGGGCTCAGCAGCAAAAACAAATATTAGCAAAATTGACAAAGTTCAGAACATTGGTTTGAGAATAATGACAGGAGCCATGAAAACAACACCCATAAAAGCTATGGAGGAAATAGCCGCTCTTAGCTCAATAGAAGAAAGAAGAGAATAAAAAATCCTCACTCAATACACAAAGCTAGAGGCACTGGAAAACCATAACCTAAAACAAAAACTCCAGAAACCCAGTCCATCAACCAGACTACAAACAACAAGTTTCATCAAAGAAGCAAAGAATCTGAAAAAGAAATATGAAATCGAAAATATCATTCCTGAAGCAATAAAAACTCAAAACCTCTCCCCGCCTTGGATCTCCCACTGTCACTTAACCATTATTGACTCAATAGACACCATAGGAAAAAAATCTGACTATGATCTAGAAGAACTTAAGAAAATAACAAATAAACACATTAAGGATCAGTACCCCAGCAATACCTGGATTAGAGTTTTCACAGATGGCTCAGCTGAAGATGCCACAAAAAATGGCGGGGCTGGCATCCTTATTGAATGGCCAAGCGGAGAAAGCCTGGAAAAGGCAATAGCCACAGACAGCCTATCCGACAATTTTAGGGCAGAAAAAGAAGCTTTAGAACATGCAGCAAACCTCCTGTCAGAACACCCTGAATCACCGAATAGTCAGATTGTATTTCTTACAGATGCCAAAAATCCAGAGTCCTATATTCAAACACTTATGACAGCACTAGAGAGGCTAAAAAATACCTGCAGCAGAATTGTGCTGCAGTGGATCCCGGGCCACTGCCAGATCCAGAGTAACGAGATCGCAGACCAGCTGGCAAACATTGGGGGAAAGAAACCACAACCGGAAATTTCGCTACACCCAAAAGAAATAAAAAGTATAATAAAAAACAAACAAACGCAAATGTGGTCTGTCACACACCCTCCCTACATTAAAGACGACGGCTATTATAATGTAACACGAAAACAACAATACATAATCTTTCGACTTAGAACAGGCCACAACAGACTAAATTAACACATGCACAGAAAACTGAAGGTTGGGTGTAGCGAAATGTGCCCTTGTGGCAAGGCCCCGGAAAACACGGAGCACGTACTCCAGGAATGTACTTTGTATAGCCAGGCACGAGTCAGACACTGGCCCCAGCCCACCCCACTCAGGGAAAAATTATATGGGCACCTGACAAACTGGAGACCACAGTCCGGTTTGTCCACGAAGTTGGACTTGTTGTCTGAATCCTCCACCATATCTACAATTAAGAACGAAGAAGAAGAAGACATAAAAATGATCTATTAAAAAGTTTTTTATGTATTTGTTTTTAATAAATTAAATTTGTATTTTTTCTTTTGATAAATGTTGGGTTGGAGTTTCTTGAAGGTATAATATGCAATTGGCATTATTAATTAAAGCCATAGAGCTAAAAATGTGTGCCATTCAACTGGGATTAAATACTTGTATTTGTTGTTCGATAGGTTTCGGACAAGTAATATACACAATTTTATGTAAAAATTGGTAAAAAATATAATGATACAAAATGACGAGGTAATATACATAGCTTTTTGGTTTCATTGAGTTGAATAATCTTAAACGTAGGCTGTTTCTTGCTCAACCCGTATTTTTAGTGATACTTAGAATTTAAAACTTATATAAATATATTTGTGAGCGGTGACTGTTAGACATTTAATACCAGATTAACGTTAGTTTTTTTCGATCAGACAAATGAAATCTTAATCAACAACACTAAGAATTTACATCCGCGGTAATTGACTTGGCAATTAATAAATGGCGTTAGGGGGGAGGGCCATTTCATTGTCTTCGTAGGGCCAGGCATTTTTGGCATTCGTAAGCCCAACATTCAACAGTGACTGTGACACCTACACCAGATTGTGTAATGTTTATATAGCGATAAAATGGTGATGCTTGCATTAATTTAAGAGTTAAAAAATCTCAACAGCTCTTAAATCGATAATGTTTTTTTTCACTATTTGCTTTCTGAATTTGTGTAGACCCAAAGGTTCGTACGCCCTAGACACAGTCTATTTTGTCAAAAGGATAAGACCCTGTGGAAGTGGAACATTACCGGGACTAAACAACAAGTTGTTACAGTCAAGCTTCCTACACGTTATTTCCTTATCCCTTTCATCTTTTAACACATCGTCATAAAATTAACCTCACCCCTCTCAATTACATGATGCTTTAATGATTAGGATTAGCATTAGGATTATGTTCTGGTTCAGGTTCAGGATCAGCTATAGGGTTAGATTTAGGTTAAGTTAAACATACACAAACACATGCACATGCACATATATATATATATATATATATATATATATATATATATATATATATATATATATATATATATATATATATATATATATATATATATATATATATATATATATATATATATATATACACATACACATACACATACACATACACATACACATACACATACACATACACATACACATACACATACACATACACATACACATACACATACACATACACATACACATACACATACACATACACATACACATACACATACACATACACATACACATACACATACACATACACATACACATACACATACACATACACATACACATACACATACACATACACATACACATACACATACACATACACATACACATACACATACACATACACATACACATACACATACACATACACATACACATACACATACACATACACATACACATACACATACACATACACATACACATACACATACACATACACATACACATACACATACACATACACATACACATACACATACACATACACATACACATACACATACACATACACATACACATACACATACACATACACATACACATACACATACACATACACATACACATACACATACACATACACATACACATACACATACACATAGTCATACACATCGTCATACACATACACATACACATACACATACACATACACATACACATACACATACACATACACATACTCATACACATACACATACACATACACATACACATACACATACACATTCACATACTCATACTCATACACATACACATACACATACACATACACATACACATACACATACACATACACATACACATACACATACACATACACATACACATACACATACACATACACATACACATACACATACACATACACATACACATACACATACACATACACATACACATACACATACACATACACATACACATACACATACACATACACATACACATACACATACACATACACATACACATACACATACACATACACATACACATACACATACACATACACATACACATACACATACACATACACATACACATACACATACACATACACATACACATACACATACACATACACATACACATACACATACACATACACATACACATACACATACACATACACATACACATACACATACACATACACATACACATACACATACACATACACATACACATACACATACACATACACATACACATACACATACACATACACATACACATACACATACACATACACATACACATACACATACACATACACATACACATACACATAGTCATACACATCGTCATACACATACACATACACATACACATACACATACACATACACATACACATACACATACACATACTCATACACATACACATACACATACACATACACATACACATACACATACACATACACATTCACATACACATACTCATACACATACACATACACATACACATACACATACACATACACATACACATACACATACACATACACATACACATACACATACACATACACATACACATACACATACACATACACATACACATACACATACACATACACATACACATACACATACACATACACATACACATACACATACACATACACACACACACACAAATACACATACACAAATACGTATAAAAATATATGTTTGAATATCTATTATGTAGAAACATGTGTGGCCTATTGTGTTTGTTAGAGTAGTTGCTAATTTACAAACACAATGTTACTCAATAGAAAGACAATACAGGTAGTTGTTTGTTTGTTTTTTTTACATTGAATTACTATTTGATTTAATTGCAGTTTATTTATTTACAATTGCATAACATGGATAATTATTTTCAATATATATGATACACACTGATGTCCAGTGAACTTATTTAAACATTTTTCTTTTAAATAGCTTGTCTCAAAAATACGGATTTCAATTTAATATTTAGGAAAACAAACTATGTTACATTTTTTAACGCACGAAAGGTTACACTTAGTGCCCATATACAAAGAAAAAAATATATGTAAAAATATAATTATTGTATATTTTTATTGTAGGCAAGAAGAAAATATTAATTATTGATCACATTAAATTAGATGGAACAGTGTAATGACGACTAAACAAATAGCATATAAACCATTCACATTTTTGTAGTCTACACGCATAGTAGGTTGTTAGCGTGTGTTTAACATAGTGGTTACATATTTTAGTGTTTTAAAAATGTATTGTCCATCCAGTTTTGTGTTTTACTTCTATAAACTAACGATAGTGAAACTACTAAACCAGGATAACACTGCGTTTTGATCTGCTCCGATTACTTCAAAGTAAAGTTCTTCCCCCTCCTTCATGTCAACAACCACTGACCCAGCAGCGCTTGTGTCAGCAGAACTTACTCGTATACAAGTACACAGCCTATCTCCAACCCGTACACCAACTACAATAATTTTATCTTTACTTTCATATAGAGTTAAACTGACAAGATATAAACCATCATGTGGTGATACAAATGTTCCTGTTGTTTGGTTAAAATGTTCACCGTTATATTCACGTACTTCATCAAAGGTTGAAATGTTTGATCTAGTACTGACACGTGTAGATTCGTTGATTTCCAAACAACAAACATATCTTTTATTTACACGTGACTCTGTTGATTAGAAAACATATGTATGATTTACATGTTCCATAATTTGTGCATCTTTGTGACATTAAAGCTTCATTGCATGAATTTATTTTGTGAAAGCTTTTTGAGAAAAAAATCTTACAGGTTGGGCTGTGGTGTGTAGAGAGCATAAATTATTAAATAATGAGGAAATTGAATTATTTTATCAAACAATGTTTATTTTACAAAATAACACTATGTAGCAAATTCGATACAGTACGCAACGGTAAGTAAAAAACATGTTAAAATAAAAAAAAGATTAATCATTTGTCAGATTCCAAATCTGGAGCATCAGAAATTCATTTACAAGATAGCAATTTACATTTTTTCACTATATTACTATAACCAGTTATGTTATATTTCTTAGTAATCATGCATCTTTTTATTGTGTCAGTCAATTAGCAGCATCATTTTGCTCAGCAGGACCTCTGACTAGTATAATTTGAGATTGTTTTAAAAGCAAAGTTGTTTTCAATGACTCAAACGTGTTGATAGGAAAGAAATCAGAATATATCTACAATGCTGATATTTGGCCATTATTAGAACTTTTGCCTGTGCAATGAAACCAGCGACATGACTGTCAGAAGCCAATGAATTGATTTATTTCTGCTATATCAAAGACTTTAAGCTTTATCTAGATTCCTCTGTGCAATGTAGATCTAGAAAATCTGTGTGCCGATTATACTAGCGTAGTCTTATCCATGGTGTGAAATAAAATAATCTTGAACAGTCGAAAGGCCTTGCACTAAAAACTAAGTTGGTCAGTTCCAATTCCTCACAAATGCTAGAAAACATCCATGTGTTTTAGTTAACCACTTGATGGACTAGCATCTGCTTACATCTTATGAATGTACATCTTATAAATGTAGGTCTATAGCTTAAGAATGTATATCAGAATAAAGTCTACCGCTTTACTTGCTCCGAACCAATCCCTTTATTCTCTCTACATCACTTTCTAAGTGTTCAATTTCAGTTACAGTAACACCTTCAACATCAGATAAATAAAACGATGAATAATTAGACATTAGTGACCAAAGAAATATGCAGGCTCTATTTCAGACATAATTCTTTTGTGAGAATCTTTACTCATCCTCTAAAAAAAATCAATATTAAACCCAACTATATATTATTTCTAGATTTATTTACTTTATCTTCATGCAAGCACAAATTATATTATAATTCAAATAAAAATAATGCATCACTGCTACTTTTTATATACTAGAGGATTATTATTATATTTGCAAGTATAAGTACTATATGTAAGAATATCAATCAGTATGCCATTATTTTGTAATAATAATTACCACTACATCCACAGATCCATAAATCCAAGAAAAACAGACAAATCAAACCATTATAAAAATTTAAATGGATTATCATCCAAAATATTTACATACTTTTGTCAAAGACCACTAAATTTAGCTACTAGTTTATTTTATTACCGTGCTCAGTTTTAGTGGTGTTAGTCAGAGGCGTAGCGACCCTTCGCGGCGACCGGGGACAAACTTTCAATTTGGCGCCCCGCTCGGGAACAATCTTTTAATTTTCAATTTGCATCTCCCTCCACCTCAAACTTTCTATTTGCACATCCCCCCTCAAACTTTCTATTTGCACCCCACCCCTCATATATATTTTATATTTATCATGCAAAACTGCAGCTAAAATAAGATTTTAATTTGTTTTTCCAACCCATTTTGGCGCCCCTAAGATCGGCGCCCGGGGACATATGTACCCCCGCCCACCCTCGCTACGCCACTGGTGTTAGTTTATGTTTTCTTAAGTAAAAAACCACGAGTGCGGTAGGTCAATTAATACGTCAAATAATGTATAACAAAAGTTACATCATGCGTTATTTTAGAAGTATTCCGCTCGTATGTGATCACATTATAGTCACATTATATGAGATTACTATATCCAAACAAGCATCACTAGCACTTTAGTTATTCTGTTATACTTACTTATAAGTGGGGTGGGGGGTAGAGAGATATTGAACAAAGTTAAGTAAAAGTAATAATATAAAAGTAATAAACTTTGTACCGATTTCAAAAGTGTTTCCTTTAGTTTAATATTTCAACAGAAAAAAAAGTAGAATTGTCATTACATCGCCATTGTTATACGTTTTTTTAAAGATTTTACTAAGATTATTCAATTTTTATTCAAAGCATACTTACCGATTAGAGCAAAATGTTTGGACAACTTTGAAATTGTATTTTCAATAGTGTCAAGCTAAATATAAAATAAAGATTAACATTAGTTATGGCAACTTATAAGTGCATAAAAATGTATTTAATCCTATATTATGATAATAAAATTATTGACAAAAACAGAAATTATCGACTAATCTAATAACTGATTGTTAATATTTAATGCATGATTGATCATTGTTGCAATTTGGTTTTTTTTTAAATAAAATGGTAGCAAACGTAGGTTTACCTTTTGTGTTCTTTCTTCTTTAGTTTCCAAGTTCTGGTTACAGATTTGAATCAGTTTTTCAATAGGCATAAATCTTTGTTGAAGAAGTTTGTACATCACACTGTGCTAATTATCCGATAATTAAAATGAATTATTACAACTTTGGCTAGTTCTAATGTATATGGAATTAAAGAAATTACAATTAGCCTTAACAATAGTTTTAAATTAAAAGGTATTACTGTTTGAAAAATTAATCAGCTGACTTTTAAAAGTTGTCACTACTTGATCTTACAATTTGTAGAGAGCAAACTAAGTAGGTGTAAACTTGTGTACCCAATTAATTTGTACCCAATTAATAATCCATTTGAATGATTACCTTTGATTGCACCTCCTCAAGTTTGGTTGATGTATTAACCATGATTTTATTTGTATCTTCTTGTAAAAAATTAATCTGATCAGAATGTATTTTCATTTCTTTTTTCATATTGTCTGTTTTATCTGTTTGATCTTGCATCTCCTTGTTTATTTTGAGTAAATAGTTTTCATATTTTTTCATATCTAGTGATGTCTTGGACTCTAATTCTTTTAAACTTTCAATTTCTTTGTTTAGCTCATTTATTTTGGAATATTGTTCACTAATTTGCTTTCTAAAGCTTTTAAAAATCTGCTTTTGTTTTTTATTTAGTTGTTCAATGTTTACCCCCATGTCACTCTGTTCTGTTACAAAGTTGTCTCTCCATTGTTTTATTTCTGATATGTCATCTGTAGACTTGATATTGGTAACTTGTATGGAATACATTGTTGTCTCTATAAGATCAAGTCGACTGACGTCTTGTAGAGAAGATATGGCGGTCTCTATCTGCTCAAGTCGACTGACGTCTTGTAGAGAAGATATGGCTTTCTCTATCTGCTCAAGTCGACTGACGTCTTGTATAGAAGATATGGCTGTCTCTATCTGCTCAAGTCGACTGACGTCTTGTAGAGAAGATAAGGTTGTCTCTATCTGCTCAAATCGACTTAATATTTCTATGGCATTATAAAGTTAAATTAATCGCAGTAGTAATATTGTCTGTATGGCATATGCTACCTTTTGACCAAGAAAAATACATTGTAATTATTCAACTTTTATTATGGTATTGTTTTATAACTTTTTGTTTAATCGGAGAGGCGCTGGTAAAAAAAATAATACTTGTTAGAAAACAATTATGTTTTGGTTTGTTTAAGATACATCCAAATATGCATGTCCAGAAAAATTTGCGAAAAATCATGATGACTATGACAACGGCGGCCATCTTGAAAATTAAACCCTTCGTAGGTTTTCCACCATTCATAAATATTATATTTTTAGTCCAATAAACAATGAATTTATTTTTTCTACCATATTTTGGGGTACTCAGATAAAAATTTTAAGTGCATATCTTCAAACTAATTTTTATGAATTTTCAAATTGTGGGTCCGTTAAAAACATTAGTTTTAATGCCCCCCCCCCTCCCACAAAAAAAAATCACCACAATCAATTTTTTTTCGCAATAATGGGTTTCTTGCATTTTTTAAATTGTATGTTCGTTTTTGTATTAAGAAAAATAATAAATTTAATTGGAGTATTTTGAAATGTGTTTCAAATAAACTTTCTATGACACATTCTATAAGCATTTTTCCCGAATTTACAAGCTCTCTACGGAAACTTTAATATCTCATCATTATATTGTGTTAGGCATCATTCGAGAGCTGGCTTTCTCATGTATTTGATAATATTATCTCCAACATCTCGGAAACACACAAAGCTGACAACCAACTTTACAAAGTACACAGAAATGGTATTTTCGTGTCTTGCTTTTCGTTTCTCTTTGCTTTTTTCTTAGTTCGCATTTTTTTTACACTGACAAGACTACTTTTTATTTTTAAAACAATGCCCACCATATGTTTCAATAATTGATCTTCACGCAAATATTAAACGTTTGCCACTAGGCAATCGTAATGGCTAATTTAGAAAAAAAAAATTAAATAATATGCAAATTGTGAAACTTGTACATACTAAAAAAGATGCTTTTTTTCAAACCTTTTAGAATGCTGACCAGTAGCAAAACGTTGTCGTGGCAAAAATTTTAATATATACTGAAATAAAAGTCGTTCAAATCTGATTTCTATAAGTGCATAAATAAAAATGCCTAAGAGTTTTTAAAAGTACTGGACAACTGTAGATGGCGAAGGATATTTCGTGTTTCCTGACAACCGAAATTGTTTCAAACCTTTTTAAATGTTTAATAGTTACTTTCAACTGCCGAACACGGTAAACGTATTTAAACGACTTTTTTCTTAAATTAGAAAAATACAAAATAACGGGCATATTCCATTAAATATTTATGTATACCTGATGGGTCAAAATGTTCTTTAAGAATTTCATATGTTGACTGACTTTGATCACGTTTTTCTGTTGCTGTTTGTTGCCTTGACTTAGATGAAAATGACGTTTCTTCTTTAGTATCAACAGTGTCGTTATTTTCGTCTTGTAATTTTAAATGAATGATATTTATTTTAAACAAATATTATAGGAATTCATGTCTTTTTCTCAACAATTAATAATTTCTATTTTTGACTTTTGTTTTGATTTTTTTTTTTTTGCAAACTATAATTTGTTTTTTCTGCAACATTGTTTAAAGTATTTGATATATTAAAATATAATATCTTAGAATATCCACACAAAAAAATTATATAATTTTCCAGGCTTACCTGTAATTATTTTCCATTACATGACTACTATTTAATTGATACTCCAGAATATAAATTAATATAAATAGACTTTTATTTTAAAATATTTACCTAAGATATGAGCCGCTACATCCAACATTGTCAAAGTAGCTGATTCAAGTTCTTGACAAAGATCGCTATATGTCAAAGATTTGTTGTCACTTTTATCTTCTAACCAAGTCTTACTTTTGTCTACAGCCTGACAACATAAAGCATTTTGTCTTAGTGTTTGTGTGTCAACATGTTATTTGAGAACATTGGTTGTTTTTTTTAGTGTTTGTAGTTTTTTTTAAAAATAATATAGGGCCTAATAACCACTTTTTATATACTATGCACTAAAAATTAGAAAATAATTGATTTTCTTTAAAGAACTATATAGAAAAGCATGGATCACTTTATTATCTATCGAATAGCTTTACTAATATTTTAGATGAGACCTACGCTTTTCTTTATAGTTATTTAAATAGTGTGTGTATTATTACATATTTTAAAAAATCATTTATTTTATAGTTTTTAGTGCATTGTTATATAAAAGCTTGTGATTAAAACATTTTTTGTTTATTTTTCAGTACTTTGTTTTTTTTTAAATTTACGATTGAGTAGCATGACTAAAAATCATTGAGCTCCGAAGTAACGTCATAATTCGTAGTGCTGAATAGTTGGTGGATAAGACATCCTACTAATTTGGACACAATTTTAAGTAATTCTTAGAAAAATTAATTAGGCATTCAATTAAGTCAAATTTAATGTCAGATTGTCTTGTCTTCATTTCTTGACCCACGTGCCAAATTTAAAACGAATCTGTCTGTTAGAAGTGCCCGAAATTTCATTCGAGCGAATCGATCTATCACGACAGACTGTTGACAGACTGACGACAATCTGGACGAGGAAGCAGGTAAAATAACAATAACAGCTTGTAAAAAGCTTCAATTCTATGATGAATGCAGGCAGAAACAACTTACAATTTGCAAAGCTTTAACCACAGGTTTAATGGCTTTTATCTTTTCCTCTATATACTTCATGTGCTCGGTAACATATTTGATCTGAATTCTGGGACGCATCTGAGTAAAACGGAAATAGTTTGAATAAACACACCAGAACGCACATTGCGATTTAGAAAGACGTTATAAAATATATAATTTCTTTCACGACAAAGTACATCATGCGAATCACAGCTATTATACACTATATATATAATATATATATATATATATATATATATATATATATATATATATATATATATATATATATATAAGCAAAGACTTTATTTATTTAAACATTATTTATAAACAATTAATTTCTGAGCATGTAACTCAACTTTCTTTTCTTGTGGTATATGTGTTGTGTAAAACACGGATTTAAGCTTAACGCGACTATTTTAAAAAGTAAACTCACTTTTGACAGAAGAATAAAACAAAGTGTTCAATGAACGAAATGTTAAGGCAATAACACAATTTACCTCAACCGTGTAGTGACGTCTGTGTGTGTACTTTCTACTGGCCCGTTCTTTAGCTTAATTTCCTGTCATTTATCTTCTCGATAAATATAGAAAACATGACTGTTAACTTAATGGTGTTATCATCCATTTGACACATGATATGACTTTATCAGTTATGTCTTCTGTGTGAAAGTGAGATCAAAACACGTTGAGTATATGCCAGCTGATCGCGTATGTGTAGGTATCTGTTCCCTACTATAGGAAGTACATCAGCCATTTACTAATTTATATAAACAATTGCGTCATTCTAGGTAAAAAGTTGCATTAAGGATTTGTAAAATTTCACAAGCACACTGTAAAAACAATTGTGTATTTAAAATGACTTAACACTATTTAGGATATTAAAATCCTGGTTTTCTCATCACATATGTTGTTCCAAATGTCTATATGCAGATCCTTAAATGTATAACTTTGATATTCTAATATACTACTTAATTTAATACATCTTAATAAGCAACACCTAGAAAACAAACACACCTTGATTTTATCAAAAAATGTTCCGATAGTAAAATGGTTTATCAAACAATAACTATTGTCATTGATGATTTATACTCCAATATATGCATGGTAAAATTATTGTGTATATCTTTTTTATAAAAGAAATAAACCGGGAGTGATCTCCCCTAAACTTTCTCGAATATTCTAATATAACACTACGGGGGATGGCAACTCGGGATATAGACTTCTAGACATGATTTTTATCCATTTTAAATACTCAAATTTTTTAAGATAGAATATAATCTCGTAGAAAAACGAAATGCACACCAAGTGAACGCTAAATAAAGATGTGCATAATAGTGCGCAATATTATTAGTACTTTATAAATTTACATGCGTTTTTTGAGAAATCGGTAATAGCGTAAATAAGTACTTCCGGTCAACGGAAATTACTCAAAAGTTGACAGAAGGTAGAGAATTAGATCTTTTACTTACATATCAAATTCCATTTATCTATCTGAAATAGTACTCAAGTTATAGGCTTTTGAAAAATTCAAAGTAGAAAAAGTTCCACTTTCGGTTATCGGAAATCGCTCAAAAGTTGATACGGATCTACGATTTTGATAAAATACTTATGTATGAAATTTCATCAACCTAGCTGTAACGGTACTCAAGTTATCGTGTTTACACACGGACACACACACACACAAACACACACACACAGGCATACGGACAAGATTGAAAAATTATGTTTTTCCGTATCAGTGAGATGTAAAACGTCGAGATTTGCAAAAATCTCGATTTTTTTTTTGCACGATTACAAGACTTTCTCTATACTTCGTATATACGAGAAAGTAAAGAGTTACCTAATTGCTAAGATATTTTACTTATCTCTAAATAATGTTTTTTTTCCTAAAGGTAAATGATGATTAAAATGTGATGTCAAATTACATTGTCATCGGGTCTAGCATCGCAGCTACTCTCGACGTGTGCGATTGTTGCCTTTAAACTAAGTTATTAATTTCTTAACATTAACCATTTATAATTAAAAACTGCAGCAGTTTACCCCTCTTTGTGCTGTCGGCAGGGGCCAAACCCCTACCTAGCTCCTCCTGCCACTACATTTAGCTACCCAATAAAAGTATGTTAAAACAGCTAAGCATATTACATAATCATTTATCTACAGAATAATAACGTTCAGTCAGTCCCACACTATAAAGAAAAGTATAACAAACATTATTTTTTAAATCCTTGCAAATATTGAGGTTTTTCTATACGTCTAAAGAATATTTGATTAATTTTTGAGTGTCAACGTTTGAAATATATTAGTAATCGATGTTAATTGATTTTAATCAGTAAAGTAATTTAATACCGTTGTTTGAACCATGAGGTTATAATAATTTTATCTTTACACCGTGTTACTCTCGGTTACCTATGTATTTTTGGCGCGTTTTGGGCCAGGTGTAACAATTATAAATAAATACAATCATTAACGAGAATCTGTATTAAGGGTGTATAATTGTCATCAAACACAAGAACACATTCGAGTAGGTACACGATGTTGACACCACACCCCATAGCTTCACACAGTGCCTCGTTCACACACTTTGTCCCGCTAGCACACCGCTTTTAAGGGGAGGCTACTCTCACACACACACACACTCTCTCCCTGCCCACACATTTTCGTTTAGACATTCCACGTCACACACCGTATTTATCAACAACTAGGAAATCTACATTTATATTGTTTAACTGTTAGGAGGGTTATACCCACTTCTCTCCCATTATATGCTATGCGCTCTATAGCACTCTAAAACTGCATGCAGCCTTCTTTTATTTCTGGATTTTCTTCCATAGCTTGTCTGTCTGGCTAACGAACATCACGTGATGCTCTGTCTGGCTAACGAACATCACGTGATGGTCTGTCTGGCTAACGAACATCACGTGATGGTCTGTCTGGCTAACGAACATCACGGTATGGTCTGTCGATAAGTGACAGAGGTGATGTTTTTATGGATGACCCCCGAAACCCACAGTTATCCAAGGGAGGACGGGTAGTCAAGTACTTAATTTAAAATCTTGTGAGACAGTCTAATTTGCATATATCGATATCTATTTTTTATTTAACAGACACTCGTGTATGTAATGAATATGCTTGTCGAATCCAGCTCAAAGATAAAATGGCAGTCAAAAATATGTGCATTATTACAACGTTAAGTACAGTACAATTCTGAGGGAACATCAATAGTATCGAAACTTCAACCAAACCACGTGAACATTTGTATCACTACATGAAGGTTGTTATCTTGTATGTGTAAATCCCCATCAATGGGAGGACAAACAGGTGGGCGTTGGTGTTGTGGCTGGTATCAAATGGTGCATGTACATCCAAGTGAAAGCTGCCAACCTTGATGCTACTAGAACAGTGCTCGTTCATTTGGAGAAATGTCAAGAACATTATTTTAAAGTTTACGAAGCTGAGCAAGATGGAACACTATCATGCTACAGTAATTTTACCATCGTTAGGTTATAGAGGCACAACACGAAAGATGGTGGACTTTTAAAACATTGAAATATGTAACACTATACTTTATAACCTATCATCATTTGTTTTTATTTCAATGATTTATTGTTTATTACTCTTTATGTCTATCTGCTTAAAGACTATATAATGGTTAATTACGTTTTATGTACTGTACAAATAAAGTTGTCAAATAAATTCTTTAAGATAGTGTTGATTAGACATACGCTAGGTTTTCATGGTATCGTGTTGTGATATGTTGACGTATTATATTTTAAGTTGACAAAATAAAGGAAGTAATCACACCTTATTTTAGTCTCTCATTCATTATTTTGAAACGTTCCTTTGACATCGCATGTACCTACTTAATGGTTTATCATTTTAAACATTTCAAAAGAAAAAGCGGCAGTGTGCTTCCCTAAACTTTGTTGTTTATTTTTATGTAACAGTAAGGGTTGGGATGACACTTCCCATCGATATCTACGTATAACAACTAATACTTATATTGGTACTTTTGCCCTCCTAACTAGAAAAGTACTCAAGTTATGGATATTTTAAAAACCTAAAATACAATTCTAAAAACGCACATTTTTAGCAACAAAGCTTTTATTTATAAGAAACCAGACTTGTATTATTGTCCTATTGTTTAGTGCATTGAAAAGCTTGCGGTAATAAATGTTTTTATATGTTTTTTTTCCAATTTTTAGTAGTACGTTCTAAAAGCAGTTGACATTACGTAGACTTCAGGTAAAAAATGTGAGTTAAAACCCGAATAGTACCTTGTGATCTCTAAATGTAATCTGCCCCTACCTAGTTCAACGCGCATGAGATAAATCAGTCAACCGTGACACAGCCCTCTGATTAAGCGATAGGTAGTTAGTATTTTATAGGAGCTTGTGGCATTGGGTTGGGCACAGGTTGCGAAAAGCACATTGATTAGGACTCGTTAGGCGCTTCAGAGAAATCTCTACAGTGGCGAAAGAAAGGTCGCCCAAATTGCTGTAGTGACATGTTAACAGTAAACCAATTTAAACATATAAAGATACACAATAAATACTAACATGTGAAAGTACCAGATAACAATTTTCTAAAAAAATATCACAAGGAAAACATTAAAAACTAAAACAAGTTGCTGTCTACATTCTAAAGTTTCAGTAGCAATTATTTCCATTTTTTATACATCTTAATCATCTGGTATAGCTCTTCCATCTCATCGTCATTTCTGACTATACCAATCCAGTAGTTCTCACAAGTTGACAGTGTTGTGGTCAATGTTTTTTCCACCAAAGCTTCAAGTAGAACAAACTCAAGGAAAGGTTTCTTCAGATGTTCATAGCCCAGCTCTCCAAGAGACTTGAGTATTTGAGTTATCCGCGTGAGGTTATGTGAGTTCCTTCAAATTGTAAACAAAAATCGGACTAGTTGACCACTATTTATTTTTGAGAACTCTTGATTTGGATAACAATAGCTAGATGATAAAATGACATTCAATCTCAGGATGAAGCAGTTTTTGATGGCATATAAGAATTGTATCACAGAAACAATAATCATTTAGTATAAAAAAAAGTCAAATGTACTTTAGTTTCTCATGTCGTGATGTGTAATATATAAACTACAGGACTGTCTGTAGTAGAAGAATACAATACTCAACTTACCTAGACAAGTTGTCAAAACAAGCTCTGTAGTTCTCAGACCTCTGTAGTTTACCTGTTCTTTCATCTACCAATTCCATGCCATAAAAATCTAGCATCAGTCTATAGGACTCTAGTACACGCTGCAAGGCTTTTGGATCACTTTTGATTTTCTGAGGGAACATCAAATAGTATCAAAACAGCCATTTTTTAATCGATTAGCGAGACAAAGTTAACTTAATGAGTACACTTTTGAAATAATGATTCCACATTCAGGGTACGAGTTGGTGACTGTTGTGAATCAAAGTCTATCTCTCTCCTGAACTAACACCTATTATTAACATTATTCGCCAATTGAAAGCAGATGCTAAACTTTTTGACTTAGAGAGGGCGGGGCATCATCGTAATACTAAAACGTTTAGTAAATTATCATTGGCCTGGAAGGGTTTATTACAGTGTTAAAACCTGTCTAGTAAATTACAAATTATTTAGTTTATGAACCCTAGCGTTTGAACGATTGTACCACTCACTTGCTTTTAGTTATTAGACTAATGTTTTTTAAAGGATCTTCTTCTTCTTCTTCGTTCTTAATTATTAGTGTTGAAGGGGATCGAGATTTATCTGCCAGTGGGTTTGAACTCGAGACTGTTCGAATTTATCAACCATGAGCTTTTTGCCGACTCGACCACGCCTCCAACACAATTAAGCGTTACGTGTCAACTGGTTATGCGCCATTGAGGCCATTGACTCCGATTTCAGCCTGCTTTTCTTTTTGGATTTGCTTCCATAGCCTTTGTCCAACCAAGAACAAACTACAAGGCAGCAGTTGTTTAATTTTGGAGTTGTCTCTCCTAGAAGAGTGGCTGTCCCCAGCTAACGAGCCTCATCTGCCCGAGGGTTCGAACTCGAGACTTTTCGGTTTAGCAACCATGAGCTTTACCGACTCGACCACGCCGACCCTTTTTAAAGGATAAAAAAAAATATTAAAACATCTGCACACGAACTTTTACCTCAGCCTCATGCAGCTGTAGAGGTTGGGCATGACGGTTTGTTCCATGTTCTCTAATGGGGAACAACCTAAACAAAAACCAAGAGTTGCGTTACTCTCATAGAACTTCTGGTTGTAACCATTTCTCACACATTTACATACATTTTCAATGCATCGTTTTTAATAAAAGAGATATAGAAAACTGAATAAATGTTTATTGTTATTCAACTCATCGTTTGTTTAAAATTTTAATAATATCTGCACTATAATATATAACTTCTTTTAAACTACGCACCATTGTATGTAACCATGGTGACGTTCTAATTTTCTATAATCCCCTTTCCAGTATCGGTGAATATTATCTATAAAATCTCCTGTCAAAGTAAATAAAAAAGACATTTGTGTTTGGAATTATGTTTGACTACATTAATACTACAGAAAATGAAAACATTTAAAATACCCAAACGATCCCTAGATCAAGTTACCTAGGATGTTTTTGTCAGAAATCTATGTCCTAATTGAACATCAGGGTACTTTACATAGGAAATGGGTTTTAATATATCATACACACAAACTGTTGAGGACATGAGACACAAATACTTCCCATAAAAGCACCAAGATGTAATGAACTAAACGACATAAGAGTAAATTTTATAACTTCTCAACTAACACGATTTCAATATATATTATTACCATCTGGTTCTGACTTAATTTCATTGTTGTAAAACAGCCAATTTGCGCGTGTTTTTGTTTTATCCCATAGGCCCTGTAATGGAATGAAACATTACGTGGAGTTGTATAATAAATTTTTACACATAGTATAAAATCTGACAAACGTTGTTTTTTTTAAATACACCCCCTTTTAGTGATTATAAAAAAAACTTAAAGGATAGCCATTTCTGTACTTTTATGTCTCTCAGTCAGCTGGTTTGTTTGACCTTTTCTTTTTATTTTGTCCAGTAGAGCATTTAAATGTATTTAAGCACATTATAAAATGTGCAATACTCATGCAAAAGACTTCCACAAGTACAGAAACATCTAATCGGTAGCCCAGAGATTAAGCTAGCATCACTGCGTTGAATTCCGATAACCCCTGGTACAACTGTGTAAATACACACCACAATAACCAAGTTTAGCCTGTCGCTTGACCTACTTTTTTACCGTCGTCATAGTAATGATTGCTGCCGAAATGACGATACCGTGATTTCGTTTTTTACTTTCTCGTATATACGAAATATATAGAGAAAGTCTTGTAATCGTGCACAAAAATAACAGGAAAATTTGACAGTTTTCACCGTTTTACACTTCGGTCCTTCATCACATCCGGAGCATAGAGGACTTATTTTAATCAGGCAAAAATTATAAATAAAAATATATAAACATTTTGGTGTTTTATGCGTTTTCGAGTCGTAAAAACTGGACTTTGCAATTCTGCCCGTATGTCTGTGTGTCTGTCTCTGTGTATGTGTGTAAACACGATAACTTGAATACCGTTACAGTTAGGTTGATGAAATTTCATATATAAGTATTTTATCAAAATCGTAGATCCGTATCAACTTTTGAGTGGTTATCGAATACAAACTTATCAGAAAAGTTTGAACGAAATCGCTGCATAAAATTGGATCAAAATTGAATTAACTGATTTCCGATAATCGGAAGCGGTACTTTTTCTACTTTGAATTTTTAAAAAGCCTTAAACTTGAGTACTATTTCAGATAGATAAATAAAATTTCACATGTAAGTAAAAAAGATCTAATTCTCTACCTTCTGTCAAATTTTGAGTAATTTCCGTTGACCGGAAGTACTAATTTACGCTATTTCCGATTTCTCAAAAAAATGCACGTAAATTTATAAAGTACTAATAATATCCCGCACTATTATGCACATTTTATTAGGCTTTCACATGGTGTGCAATTCTTTTTTTTTTTACGAGATTCTATTCTATTATAAAAGTTTAAGTAATTAAAAATGGATTACAAATATTGTCTATGTCCTGAGTTGCCATCCCTCTTAGTTTTCTTTTAGAATATTCGAGAAAGTTTAGGGGAGAGCACTCCCGGTTTATTTAACAATGTTTCAGTTTCATGATCATTTCAGAAATATATACTTAAAATCGTTATTTTTACGTATTGTTCAATGATACCGGTCTAGTTTTAACGATTCACGATTAGTGTTTGATGCAAACTTGCCATTTGTACATTCTTTTGATCTAATCGCTGAGAATATCGAGCAGAACATAATAAAAGTAATCAAAACGTGAATTGCTTTATTTAATATTGTTCTAAACATATTGAAAATATATTCTAAGCTATATAAAATTATAACTTGCTTTCTACTAAACTAATGGCATTAATGTTTTAAAAATCATGCAGGGTAAAAACAAAACCTATTAAAAATAACTTGATCGAGACAACAGCTAATTAAGCCCGCCTAATTTTCCCGCCGTGTGTTTGAATGGGGAGAAATCTAGCAGGCAACACATTTCTGCTCAACGGCAGTAAACGCTTCATCGCGTCACAATAACACTCCTTAAAAAACGAACCCACCTTATCACTAAACATCATTCATATCATCGTAGCCATTTAAAAACAAACGCGCTATTTCACAAATCATTTTTCTAGGCTACAGATTGAATTTGATAAATAAAATAATAATCATTAAAAAAGTTTTTAAAAACCCACGTTTTCTGATTGAACTAAAAAGTAGAAAATAAATGCTATACATCACAATAATGCAAGCGATCACTCTACTATAAGCGACGAAAAACGTGGGGCGCCGAAGTAAAAGTTATATTACCATTGATTAGATAATACTATTGACTTTTATTAGGGAGCTTGTAGAGAGTCAACAGTATTAGAAACTGTAAGAAAATCACGGCGCCCCACGTTTTTCATCGCTTATAGTAGAGTGATCGCTTGCATTATTGTGATGTATAGCATTTATTTTCTACTTTTTAGTTCAATCAGAAAACGTGGGTTTTTAAAAACTTTTTTAATGATTATTATTTTCTACTTTTTAGTCTTTGTCTGTTTGTTTGCATTCAAATCTTGCTATCGATTTTATCTTTTCACTTTTTTTTTGGGTAAACGAAGACAACTCGTAAAAAGACAACTCGTAAAAAACACGTTGTGTGAATACGTTACTGACTAGAACACATAGATTTGAACCCGTGTCGAGTGGGTTAGCAATCGTGTGCCCAACCACTCGACCATATCGTCTCCCCCATACTGGCCACCAGTTGTTACGTTCTGGTTGTTTGTAGACAAACACCGCGTGACAACTACTCAGTAAGCAAAAAGAGGGAGAGTACCAAACCTTCTTTTCATCAAATTACAGTTACTGGGTTATGTCCCTTTTTCCCCCACGTTTTTTGTACAATTATATAGGGGTATAAAATGATCAATAAAATGTTTCCATGGATCAATTTAGTAATAATAACAGTTGAATATTCTATTGTCATCCGAAACACAGCTTCCCTGAAAATTTCAGCGCGCTAGCTAACTGGGAAGTGCCAGAAATTTCGATCGCAAGATTTGATTGGAAAAACAAACAAACAAACAAACAGAGGCGAAAGCAAGTTAAAGAAAACGTGGGAATTAGTATCAAATTAAAGTGAATTAATAAATGTAGTTTTTAATTTTGTAAGTATTCTTGAACAATAATGAAGTTTAAAATCTAAGTTAGTGATGATGTATCTTATCAGCTATATCTGTATATTAATGATGGTAGCAGGCCTTCTAATTAAAATATTGATCCATAAGTTTTGATGTATTTAAAATAAGTAAACTAAGGTAAAAAATATCCACTGTAAGGACAGGAAAGTATAGCTACTTGAGATGAGGTCCAAGTCTTCTTCTTCTTCTTCGTTCTTCAATTTTAGTGTTGGAAGGGATCGATCCTGAACTGCCAGAGGGTTTGAGCTAGTTGTCTCCCCTCTTGTAATTGCACATAATCTTAAGATTATTTTTAAAATGACTAAATGTCTACTTAGATTAATAAAAAATATCCCTTTCTGGTTATCGAATACAAACTTATCAGAAAAGTTTGAACGAAATCGCTGCATAAAATTGGATCAAAATTGAATTCACTGATTTTCGACAGATCCACAAACGGACGTTGCGAACTAAGTAACAATAGAGTTGTATTTTATACTCTGTACAGTTATAGATTTATATATAATTTGGAAATGTGTAATGACTGCTAGATAAATAACATAAACACCATTAAGTAAACTGTTAGCAAGTATTTAACATGGTGGTTATATATTTACTTTGGGAATATCCAATCCACTGTTTCTGTTGTACTTCTGTAAAATAACAATTCCTAAAAATAAAAATAAACTGTACCCAGATAATTTAGCATCTTGGTCTGCTTGAAACACTAAAAAAGCTATTGATGTCTTTTCTTGTCAAAAAACACTGACCGATTAGCGCTGGTGTTGGCACCTTAACTTCTATACATACACAACACCTGTCTCCAGCCCAGACTCTCACACAAAAATTGTATCTTTACTTTCGTGTAGAGTTACACAGGCAAGATATAAAACATAATGTGATACTATTATTCCAGCTGCTTAATTAGTTTGTTGACCCTTATGTTCACGTACTTTACCAACTGCTGAGATAATTGATCCAGCACTGACAGGCTTAGGAATAGCAAGCTCCGCATGATATGTGTTACACACACGTGACTCTGGAGATTAAAAGACATTTGTATGATGCTCATATTTATTTTCACACATACATGCTAGGCTCTGATTACTTGATCCTTATAAGGTAACTTTGTCTTGTCATTAATTTATAAACCAGTTTTTCTTTTAGATATTTTGTGCGTATTGCGGGGGGGGGGGGGGGAGTGCCACACTTTAAAAATATATTTTCCATATAAATACGTGTTTTTTTTCTATTTTTTACGGGAGGGGAGATGTGGACTGCGGACATGCTTAGGTGAGTGCCCGGTCTCAATTTGGAGAGATGCCTAAAAGTAACACTAATACTTTCTAAATACAAACTCATTGTATAGTTTAGCGTATGAAATTTTAGATGTAACAAAAAACAAATATTCAACCACTAGTCGTCGGTACCCATTACACGGGAATAATGGGCCTATATATTTTAATGTTATACTTGTTTAAGAAAAATATTTTATAAAAAATTTATTAGTCAAAACGCTATGTGCTTTACTACACGTTGAACGATATTAGTGTCAATGCAAAGAAATAACTAAATAGCTAAAAAATCCGACACATTTAAAATAACATAGACTACCAATACCTTTTAGAAATATTAAAACCAAATTATATACATTAATAGTTCAAACACAACACTATATAAATGCACACGCTGATTAAGAGACTTAAAATTAAGAAAATTAAATCACTTCGTTAAAACCCCGGCTGTTCAGTGGTAGTTGTGTTGTTTCTTGCTTTTTAAAGACTTGGCTTAGCATGTTTCTGACTACACTATCCCTTCATATGCTGCGAAGACAGAAATAGGTGAACTCTACTTCACCTGCCCCGTGTCTTGCCAAGTCCCGATAGGCATCTTTATCATTCATATTTAAAAAAAAAATTCAACATTGACGTGGTGTGTCTCGAACCCGTACCACCCGCATGTTAACTATTACTCTATCGTCTCATTTAATTAGGCACTTCAGTTTAGGCTCGGAATAAGTGGTGTGTTTACGTAGAATAAGTCTGAGTCAGGGTAAGAAACTTAACGCGAATAGGCCTTATTATTTCAAATGAAATTTTATCCCAAATTAGCCAATTCCATAGATAAATAAACAAAGATTTATATAAAATTAATTAAAGCCTGAACTAGTTTAGTACAGAAACTCATTATTGGCATAGAATCTAGCTAGATCTAAATCTAGATAGAGCTGAAGTCTAGATCTTGTTTTTTTACCGTAGCTCTAGATCTAGATCTAGAATCTAAATAGATAAAGTAAATAATATAAGTTTAGGCTCGGAAAAATTGTATACATTTTTTGCGTACTTCTTGATTGGTAAATATAAATCAAATTTGAATGAAATAGTTCATTTCTTTATTTTCTAAAATTGGAAGATGAAGCCATTAGTTTTGTGTTCTTTCCGCAGTTTAACCTTAAGACGTGCGACGTCATTGTTTTTTTGCGTTCATGTCACAACAATAAACACGTTAGTTAGAAATGTGTTTCTACATTGGAAAATGCTTTTATTTTTATTTTCCTTCTTTAAAGAAACTTTAGTTATTACTTTCATAACGTCCACCATATTATTTTCAACAAAAGTCCTTATCTTTAAGTCCTCCATATATCGCTGAATAAACTGATGACTTTGCCAAAAATATTGCGGACATAGAGAGAAAGAGACAGAGAGAGAGAAGTGCGCACATGGGCTTTTATATAGTAGGCTTTTATTTAGATAAAATCGAAGTATGGATTATAATCCATTTATGTGTATATGTTTACATAATCCTTTATAACAACATTAGTTGGAACTATAAGATTAATACCGCGCTCAGTTATTCTGTTATACTCGACAGACTCTAATAAACATTTTGGTAAGATGAGCACAATCAACCTCTCGTATCGCTCATTTAACTATACAGTACATTAGTTAGATATTTAGTTAGTATTAACATTTTAATACGTAGTTCAATAAATATCGAACAGGGAAAAAAAAGTAATAAACTTAGTACAGATTGGTTAGCATCGATCATTATACGTTTAAGTTTTTTTAATGTATTCTATGATTCGGTTTCTTTCATTTTTATTTCAAAGCACACTTACCGATCAGATGAACATCTTTAGACAAATTTGAAATAGTATTTTCAATGCTGTGAAGCTAAATTAAAATACAATTAAAATTTTATAAATGAAATGTACATAGTTACGTATAAAATACAATAATTGGAAATGGCAACGTCTAAGAATAATGAAACTATGTTATAAATCTAAATTAATTAACGTAAACAGATGATATTCACCGGACTAAAAACATAGTGTTAGCAATTTGTGCATTTCTTTAATAATGTTGCAATTTATTTTTTAATAAACGTTTTACAAACATACTTTTTTTCTGCTTTCTTCCCTAGTTTCCAAGTTCTGGTTAAAGATTTGAATCAGTTTGTCAATAGGCATTAATCTTTGTTGTAGGAGTTTGTACATCACATTGTGCTAAATAGATTATTATACAATTTTTATTTCTATTTCAGATTAAAATTGCAGAATTAAAAGTGTGTCTTAAAATTAGTTTTAAAATCGCGGGTACTACAGTTGGAAAAACTAATGAACTGACTTTTAATTACATGTTATAACTTGGTAAGTAAACTGACAAGTTGGTGTAAAATTGTGTACCTAATTAATTAGCAATTTAAATGTTTACCTTTGATTGCACCCCCTCAAGTTTGGTTGATGTATTTTCTTCTAAAGAAACAATCTGATCAGAATGTCTTTTAATTTCTTGTGTTAAACTTTCTATTTTATCTATGTTATCTTGCATCTCTTTGTTCAGCTCCTTTACTTTGTTATCTTGTTCACTCATTTGTTTTCTGAGGTTTTTAAAATTCTGTTTTTGTTTTTTAGTCAGTTGTTCAATGTTTACCCCCATGTCACACTGTTCTGTTGCAAAGTTGTCTCTCCATTGTTTTATTTCTGATATGTCATCTGTAGATTTGTCATTGGCGTCTTGTAGAGAAGATATGGCTGTCTCTATCTGCTCAAGTCGACTCAATATTTCTATTGCAGAATGAAATAAAGTTACTGTCGATTTTATAATTAAAAGCACTCTTTGCTTTTAAAACGTACACACCTTTACTTAAGTTTTACTATAGTTGTTATAGTTTTAAAAAGTGTTAATACCATCTATTTTTGAAAGGTGTTTTTTAACTTGATGTGTTGATTCATTTTGATCGAGTTCTTCTGTTGCTGTAATTTGAGGTGTAGACTTAGAAAAAGATGGCGTTTGTTTATCGACATCTACATGTTCTTTATTTTCATCTGTTGTTATAAATACCAAATATATCATTTTGTGTTATATTATTATTTAAGTATTGGTTTATTTTACACTTAACTTATTCGCCTCTCTACAGGTTTGTTAACCAAACGGGTAAATATATTAATTTTGTTAGATGGTACAGTAAAATATTGTTAACAATCATTTTAATAAAAAAAATTGAAGAATATATCTATATGTATCTTACAACAGTGGTTAAATATCACATATATTTCTTGTGTTTAACCACATGTCATGAAGAAATTAAATATAAAGTAACATTTCATCTAATAAAATTGTTAAAATATATACGTATGACTTGTGACGCTGCATCTAACAAGGCCGTGGTCGCTGACTCAAGTTCCTGGTATAGCTCGATGTAGGTGACAGACAAGTTGTCATTTTTATCTTCTATCCACGTCTTACTTTTTTCTACGGCCTGACAAAACATTTGATGCTAGTCATAACATGTTTTTCATTTTATCAACACATCATAATTGTATTTACTTGCTGTGCTAGATTTCAGCTTAAAATAGTTTCTTACAATGTTCATAGCTTCGAGGGTAGGTTCCATAACTTGTATCTGTTCTTCCAAATACTTCATGTGCTCTGTAACATGTTTGACCTGAATTCTAGATCGCATCTTAGTAAATACAGATCTCACTTTTTAATCTTTCTCTTGTCTTTGATGTAGTATTTACTGTCGAGATTGTTCTCGTTAGCTTTCTTTAGAAGCCTAAGGAAAAGCTTACCCAATGTTCTACTTAAAAAGATATAAAGCGAAATGAATCAAGTTGAGTTGTAATTACAATATAGGTTTAGTACCAAGCACATTATTTTTAAATGAGTTATACAATATTAAACTACACTACATTTATATTAAGAATACGATTTTCTCTTATACCCATTTTTTTAAACAGTAAAGCCTGAATAAACCGGGAGTAATCTCCCCTAAACTTTCTCGAATATTCTAATATAACACTACGTGGGATGGCAACTCGGAATATAGACATGATTTTATTTGTAAAAATAGAATAACATCCACTAGAAAAAAGAATTGTGCACTAAGCGAGCGCCAAAACAAAATGTGCATAATAGTGCGCAATATTATTAGTACTTTATAAATTTACATGCGATTTTTGAGAAATCGGAATTAGCGTAAATTAGTACTTACTGTCAACGGAAATTACTCAAAATTTGACAGAAGGTAGAGAATTAGATCTTTTACTTACATGTGAAATTTCATTTATTTATCTCAAATAGTACTCAAGTTATAGGCTTTTGAAAAATTCAAAGTAGGAAAAGTACCACTTCCGGTTATCGGAAATCTCTCAAAAGTTTATCAGGATCTACGATTTTGACAAAATACCTATATATGAAATTTCATCAACCTTGCTGTAACGGTACTCAAGTTATCGTGTTTTTACACACACACACACAGACACACACACACACACAGACACACAGACATATGGACAAGATTGCAAATTTATGTTTTTCCGTATCAGTGAGGTGTAAAACGTCGAGATTTGTAAAAATCTCGATTTTTTTTTTTGCAAGATTACAATACTTTCTCTATACTTTGTATATACGAGAAAGTAAAAATAGCATAAACCAGTTAAACAACGACGATACAATTTTAAATAATGCGATGATGTTTATGTCGTTCTACGATTTTTTATTTTAAGTCACCTGTGGTTGTGTTCAAAAATCTACAAAGACAGGTAATGAAAGACCTAGATAACAACCACCTCCTTACAGTTATTGATAAATGGCAAGTTGATTAAACACTTAGTTAAACACACCGTCAAAGGGGAAATTTGGAATGTAAATACAAAGTAACACTAGGTAAGTGATAATGTGCTAGTGACTTAGCTGTTGTGTGTTGCAGGGTCATTGCCATACTGTTATGGTTTGGTGTGCCAGTGAGCTACTTGTTTTTTTTTTTTGGTGTGTTAGTGACCTTCATGTTTTTGGTGTGTTAGTGACCTACATGTTTTCTGTGTGTTAGTAACCTACATGTTTTTGGTTTGTTAGTAATCTACATGTTTTTGGTGTGTTAGTAACCTACATTTTTGGTGTGTTAGTAACCGACATGTTTTTGGTGTGTTAGTAACCTACATGTTTTTGGTGTGTTAGTAACCTACATTTTTGGTGTGTTAGTAACCGACATGTTTTTGGTGTGTTATTGACGTACATATTGTTGTTTGTGTTAGTAGGCTACCTAGGCCTACATGTTTGTTTTGGTGTCTTAGTTACCTACCGTTTTGGTTTTGACCTATTTATTTTAGTTTGGTGTGTAAGTGACCTACGTGTTGTTGTTTGGTTTGTTATGACCTATATATTGTGTGTTGGTGTGTTAGTGACCTAGATGTTGTGGTTTGGTGTTTTAGTGATCTACATGTTGTAATTTGGTGTGTTAATGACCTACATATTGTGGTTTGGTGTGTTCATGACCTACATATTGTGGTTTGGTGTGTTAGTGACCTACATGTTGTGATTTGGTGTGTTAGTGACCTACATGTTGTATTTTAGTGTTTTAGTGACCTACCTGTACGTTAGTGTCTACATTTTAGTTTTCTGGTAGGTTATTGACAGATAATTTAACATGAAGCATTGCACATTTTAAATATTAAATATTAAATTAAATATTCTTAATCTTAAAGATCTGTTTCTTAATTACACATTACATTTTAAATCATACTTAGAATATGAATTTTATATAAATCTGTGAGTAATATGTTACTTTCAAAGAGTTATTATTAAATGTAAGTTTATTTTCTCGACAAATATGCTACGTGTAAAACATGTGATATCGGGATTTCCGATATTTCTAAAGAGTTCAAGTAATCTGTAACATATTTGACTTGCACTCTAGGACGCATCTGAATTAAACAGAAATAGAATTCACATACTAGAAGGTATTTATTATAACACGAAGGAGTTTCAGAGCATTTTATGGCATTAACTCAAGTTTGTAGTTTTGAGATTGGTCAGTTGTCTAATCTGTTAGTCTTGTAAAAATGAAGGTGATGGAAATTATGCTGTTGTATAAAGCATGGATTTTACATTAACGTGACTATTTTAAAATATAAACTCACATTTGACAGAAGAATAAAACAAAGTTTTCCGTTGTTTAGCCTTTGTTTTAGACACTCTAGTTCCAGTAGTAACAAACTGTCGCTCCGCTTCAATAAACAAAGTATCGCGTCAATAACACAAGTTACCTCTTTCATGTAGTGATGTCTGTGTTGTATGTGTACTTTGTACTGACCCGTTCTTTGGCTTAATTTCCTGTCCTTTATCTTTTCAATGAACATATACCACATTTTACTAGCGTTATCATTAATTTTACACATGCTATGACTTTATCAGCTATATCTACTGTGTGAAGGTTTGATCAAAACACGGCGAGTATGTGCCAGCTGAGTGTGTATCTTTAGTACCTGTACCCTACTATAGGTAGTACATCAGCCATTCAATAATTTATATAAACAATTTCGTCAGTGTAGAGTAAATATATGCTTTAAGGATTGTAAAATTTCACAAGCAAACTGTAAAAGCAATTGTGTATTTAAAATGACTTAATACAAGTTAGGATATTAAAAACCTGATTTTCTCATCACATATGTTGTTCCAAATGTTGATATGCAGGTCCTTAAATGTATGACTTTGCCATTTCAATATAATTCTTAATTTAATACCTTTTAATAAGCAACAACAAGAAAACAAACATACACTTTGATTCTAAAAAAAATTCAGTAAAATAAATGTTTATCAAACAATAAAAAATGTCATTTGTAATTTATACTCTGATATATGCATTGTAAAATTTAGTATATATGCTTATATATCTCGATTTCAACCCTCTGGCAGATAAGGATCGATCCCTCCCAACACTAAAAAATTAAGAACGAAGAAGAAGAGAAGAAGATGCAGGAGCTATACTTCAAGCTTGGAGTGGGTTTAGTATTATTAGATTATAACTTTGTGTTCTAAGGTGAACAAATAAATATTTGTCCTGTTTCAGTGTTTTAGATAATTGCATGAAGCCATGCTTCAAGCTTGGAGTGGGTTTAGTATTATTAGATTATAACTTTGTGTTGTTGTGTAAACAAATAAACATTTCTCCTGTTTCAGTGTTTTAGATAATAAATTTGTAGTGAGTTCTGGTTCTAGATTTTGATGGTGTTGTTTCCATCTAGACCAGTATCAGGATATCTTCAACAGATTGTGTGTGTGCTACGTGTCGTGTAATGTTGTCAACAGTTTTGGTTATTGATAGAATTTGATTACATGAGAAAACAAATGTACGTTCAAATGTTGACTTCAAATAAATCGTGCTAGAAATGTATAACTATAATATAATGTTTTTATTACAATTGCATTATGTTAATTGATATTAAGGTTTACGCTAAAAACAATTATACAAATAGAAGAACAATTAAATTTGAAATTATAGATTTCAGCACTGTTTAAAAAGAAGTAATTTTCTGAAGAACATTAAGATAATTGATGTGATAGTGTGGTCAGATGACACAGCCTTGGAGTGCTAACCTGAAAGTCTCGAGTTCACAACCCGGGCTTGAGTCTGAAGAACGTTCCTGATTCCATCCAGCTCTGAAGAATACGTAACTCTCAACCCCTAACGTCGAATGTCGCTAAAACGCGACATACCATTTCTCTTAGCTTACGCTCTTTGGTACATTTATCCTAACGTTGCCGATCGTTGTGTGTTAGGTACAACTAGACAGTCGTCGCGGTACCACTGGTCACACTGTCAAGTCGAAATTTATGACGTCACACTCTCTTGACTCACGTCTTCGTGAATTCAGCCTTTTTATATTGATTATTGTTACTAAATAGGTGGTCCATTTTTACTACAAAAATATTAATAGCTTTATTATTCACTCTGTTGTGCATATTAACAGTATAATTCACATAAGAGCAATTGGGAGATTATCGTCTGATTACGCTTTGTTGATTCAAGCTATAAATAAGTGAAAGATGTCAATATAGTCTTTTATTTTACATATAAAGTACACTTTCGAATGTTACGGTCTATGCGGCGGGTGAAGTAGAGTTTACCTTTTTCATTGACCTCGGTTTATGGAGAGAGAGCGATGCTGGAATAATGTGATGATGCTGCTGGACACAATATAAAGACTTTAGCTTAGAAATAGCATTGTAAAATATGAGAAGAATATAAAAAACTAATTAAACAACAGGAAGTGAGGTGGTGGACCACTATCCTAGATACCACCAAAGATGGATCTTCACAGTGAAGTGACCATGGCAATAATAAAACAATAGACGTACACCTCGTGATAAATACAGTAGCGTTAAATACTGACAAAATTACCCACTCCAGTGATGTTGAGTACCCACATCAGTTGCATTATACACGCATCCAGTACTGATAACATAGTTATTAAGTACCCACAGCTTCAGCACTGAGTACCCACTTTAGTGACTCTGAGCACCTACAGATTTAGCACTAAGTACCCACTGGCTAGTGAAATCATATATTACGCGGTAATACAATTGGATTTTATTCAAATATTTAAAATGATTGATCCACACACCATTCCGATATAAATCATCCCCATTTATCTTGGCGAAAAAGCGACGCACCCCTACAGCTTTTTTATCGTTACATAATACGCTTGGTTTCTTTTCTAAATGTTATAACAGTCATCTACTTACAAGTCCAGGGTAAATCCCTAACCCTAACCCACAGCAGTGATACTGAGCACCCACAGCTGAGTACTTATAACAATGTTATCGATTACCAACAGCCCCAGCACTGAGTACCCAAACAGTGACACCAAGTACTCAATACACATGATTTCAGCACTCAGTACCCATTGCTTCAGCATTGAGTACCCACAACATTGTAGCTACAGCACTGTCATTGGGTTTCAATAGCACTATTATTCGAGTATCAGGGCAGTAGAAAGTACCGAAAAAGCACATAGGCCTTCTACCAAAGGCAGAAACATTGGGTAACAACAACTAAGCACTGAGTATGCTATTTTACTGTTTAGGTAGCGACCTACGAATCCATGATATTTATTTCAAGTTAATTCCATGTTCCCAGGCAAGATGGGTAAAATTAAAAGATGAAGTTGAGAGAACAGTAACATTTAATTACAATGAACTAGTTGCGTGATTTTCTAACAAAACTGGCTAGTGAAATCGTATATTACGCGTTATTACAATTGGTTTTTATTCTAAGATTTATAATGATTTATCTACTTACCATTCCGATATAAATCATCCCCATTTATCTTGGCAAAGAAGCGACGCACATCTACCACTTTTTTCTTATTTAATCGTGACACAATACGCTTGGTTTCTTTTCTAAATGTTATAACAGTGTAGGATAAATCCTTCCAATTTTAGTCGACAGAATTGCACACACACCCCCCCCCATCTTGATGGTAAACGATCTTTCCAGGTCTCTGGTTCTTAAGAGTGTACTTCACATTTACCCAATCAATGTAGAAAGCATTTGAATAAAGAATCGTACTCGTTTAATTTCTTAACTTTAATCTTTTACAATTCAAAACTTCAGCTTATTAAAATTGACTTTTACCGCTTTTTGTGCTTCCCTCCTGTCGGCAGCGGACGACCCCACCCGCTGCCCCTCTACCTCAACTAGACCCATGGGTAGCCTACACTAAAGTAGACAGGAGTAGTATATTAGGTCCCTTTTGGAGTGATTTTTTGGCGGAGGAGCGCAGGGTGAGGAGCAATGACATATAGTAAAATACTCGGGAGCTGGATGGTGAGGCGGGACAATGACATATAGTAAAATACTCCCCACCTGGGGGAGCAGGATGGTGAGGGTGGGTGAGGAGCGAAGGGTGAAGGGACAACGACACATAGTAAAATACTACGCCAACTAGTGTTGGCGGAGGAGCCGTAGGTACAATGAGATATAGTAAAATACTCCCCAACTGGCGCAGGGTGAAGGGTGAAGGGTGAGGGTGAAGGGTGAGCCTGGCGCAAAGACATATAGTAAAATACTCCCCCACCCTAGGGTGGCGGAGGAGCGGAGGGTGGGTCACCTTTGGTGACCTTGTGACGTAATCATTGACCTTGTGACGTAATTAATGACCTTGTGACGTAATCATTGACCTAGTGACGTAATCATTGTCCTAGTTACGTAATTTTAATGAGTTTTTTAATGAGTTTTAATGAATTTTTAAATTTTAATTAATTTTTATAATTAGTTTGAATTTTAATTTAATTACTTTTGTTTATATTGTGTAATTTTTATTGACGAGTGACGTAATTTGATTATTTGTTTGTGTTTTGTCTGTTTATTTTTAATAAGTTTAATTAATTTGATTTTTATTTAAATTTTTAATTTTTTTTTTAATTTTATTTTATAATTAGTAATTATTTTAATTTGATTATTAGTTTGAAATTCATTTTATTTCTTTGATTTTAATTACGTTGTTTAATTTATTTATTTGATATATTTCTTTTCTTTGTTGTTTAATTTGTTGGTTTGTTTATTTGGTTGTATGTATGTTTTAAATTCTCCCCTACAACGACCGTGTACAAAAAACAGGTTAAATTCTCCACCACAACGCTAAAGTAGACAAACATAGAACATTCATTAAAGATAACGATTAACAACACCTGTTACTCGCTAATGGCACCCGGCACGTATCGATTCACCAGCGATCCTTTGTTCTTATCAAGCACCGTACAAGGACCAAGTTCATATTGATCGCACCCACTGACCATCACACCTAATTAATTTGGTCACGCCTCGTGGGTTTATGTGTTGTTCACTAAAGCGAACACCGTAGGGGTTCCGCGTTTAATCGAAAGAGCTAAGTGGTTAACCACAAAGCCAGCGTTAAGCAGGCCCATCACACATAATTAAAGTTGGTCATGCATCGTGGGTTTATGTGTTGTTCGCGAACCGAACACCGTAGGGTCCGGGAGGGGGAGGGAGGGGGAGGGGGAGAGGGGGAGTGGATTTGAGGCAGACGGAGGGGGAGGGAGGGGGATGGAGGGGGAGGGAGGGGGAGAGGGGGAGTGGATTTGATTTTTTAATTAGTTTAATTTTTTTTTTTAATTTTAATTTTGTAATTTTAATTTATTATTTTTATTAATTTTTATTAACGAGTTACGTAATTTGCTTATTTGTTTGAAATTCATTTTAATTAATTTGATTTTAATTACTTTGTTTAATTTATTTATTTGATATATTTCT